TGCATTTTAGCTGCATTCTGGTTAAAACTGAACTAGCTAAAACTCAATGGGTGGCCTTGTCTGCTGCTGACATCCTTCAATTGAAGAATTGTTGTCCAAACAGAACCTGCGTCCATCCAGATGCAGATACTGTTTTGACAGCAGGCAGGATCAGCTGTCAAAAATACAAGAGCTGCAGTGAGATTTGTCCATCTGCACTGAGTATCTTGGATGGAGGAATCTGTCTGATCTTTTTCTCCAGCCTGTAAGCTGGATGGAAAAGAATTTGTGACCAGCTAAAGAGACCTTTTGGTTTGGTTTGATCTACTGAGTTTTATAAAATTCAACACAATTCACTAGGCTTTTCACATAGCTGAGTGAAACTGAAGTCTTTTGTCATGGGGATATGTACTGTGGAGTCTCTCTTATGTTTCATTGATTGTGATCAAAGCTGTTGGGAGGTTTGGAAGTGGGGACAGTGGTAGGCCTAGGGAACACACTGGTTTGCCTTTTATTCAGGCTTAGATTCTGGGATCTTCAGAAGAGAAGGATATCTTCACCTTCAGGAATTTTCATTATGAGCAACCTGGTTAGAAGGTAAAAACAGTCACACAGAAGGTAGAATGTGTCCTGCAAGAGTCTCCGTGGAAACCTTTCATGTTTGGTTGGAGTACCTTTTTAAAAGACACCTGACAAGATTAAGAAATGTTGACACTGCCATAGCCAGTTTGTTTTTGAAGGTGCAGGATATGGGTCTGTCATACATTAAAGTGGTTCTAAAGGCTGACATTTTTGTACCTTAATTCTTTCTGTGCATAAAGGTAAAAACCTTCTGCAAGCACTTACTTACCTGAACCCGATCTCAATCTAGTGATGTTCTCTCTCTATCCATATTGGCTCAGACACCACATCAGGAGCCTTTTACTCCTGCTGCTGTCAATCACTGTCAGTGAGGAGGGGTGGGACTGAGCACAAGTGCCCCCATAGCAAGCGGTTTGCTATGGGAGCACTCAGCAGGGGGGGGATCCAGGAGCGCCAGCGAGGGACCCCAGAAGAGGAGGATTAGGGCTGTTCTGTTCTTTAAACAACCATTGCACAGAGCATGTAAGTATAACATGTTTGTTATTTAAAAAAAAATAAAAAATTTAGCCTTTTAGAATCATTTTAACTCAGCAAATCGGTGACTAGAATGCAGTCAGTGTACCCAACGTTGTATGAGACTCGATAAAACTCCACTGGTACCCATATAGCAGGCTCTCGTGTGCTGCATGTCAGTTCAGCTTTTCTACTGAGCTCCCCAGAAGTCCTGAATTCAGGAGCTCTGGGGTATGCAAATTTCAAGAAGCTCATTTGGGCAAGTCCTGGCCTCTGTTTCCTGCACCTCCACTATTGGCAAGTGAGTTCACCCGTTATACTGATGGCCCGGTAGTTGGACTCAGAGGACAGGGCCTGACACTCAGCCATCAGTGCTGTTTAACATTTACATACCAGAGCATGCTGGCATAGTGATTCAGTTGTAGGGCATTTTGCAGTTTAGAAAGTAATAATTTTTGGTAAGTAAATCTGTTATGTAAATAGGGAAAGTCTTACTATGGAATATGAAATGTAAGTGATGGAACACTCTTTGGATTCCTACTTACTGGTTACTTTTTATTTTTCAGGAAGACACTATGGAGGTTGAAGAATTCCTTAAGGAGGCTGCAGTGATGAAAGAGATCAAACATCCCAACCTTGTCCAACTCCTAGGTACCTATAGAAAGTAACCCAGTTCTTTGCATTTGTGCAGCCCCATATTAATAGTTGTTTCTTTTAGTATGCTTTCTCTCCTTTTTAGAGTAATTATTTTATTTTATCAGGTGTCTGCACACTGGAGCCCCCATTTTACATTGTTACAGAGTACATGCACTATGGGAACCTGCTGGACTATCTCCGAGAGTGTAACCGAGAGGAAGTGACTGCTGTAGTTCTGCTTTACATGGCCACTCAGATCTCCTCTGCCATGGAGTATCTGGAGAGAAAAAACTTCATACACCGGTGAGCTGCATGTCATTTTTCTGCTAGGCACTAATTTTGCTCTCCCTATCCTTGTTTATAAGTGAGTTCAGGGTAATGGTGATTCCTGGGTACAGCTAGTGATGGATTTGTTTTTTATTTTTTTTTTGTGGGTTTTCTTTAGTTTCCTTTTGTATAAATTTAAATATTTCTCTACGCCTTTCTTTAGGGATCTTGCAGCAAGGAACTGTCTTGTGGGCGAGAATCATGTGGTAAAGGTGGCTGATTTTGGACTTTCTCGGCTCATGACAGGAGACACGTACACAGCTCATGCTGGTGCCAAGTTCCCCATAAAATGGACTGCTCCAGAGAGCCTAGCATACAACACTTTCTCTATAAAGTCAGATGTCTGGGGTAAGCTTTGGTAGTTCACATTTCCTATCTTGTATATTCAGATTTTGCTGGCCAATCTGGGGGAAAAAAAAGGAATAAGTAGGATGTATAATGGAGCACTTCTGTATGCAATATTGTATTTAAAGAAGCACTCTGGGCAAAACCTTTCTTTTTCCCATTCAGTGGGGCTGTTACCGCACTGCATGGATTAACTGCTCATTTTTGTTGAGGGGATTGCAAAGCAGAGATTTTCTTGCCTAATCCACTGATCCTCCGAGCGCAAGACTAGCAACTAAAAAAAAAAAAAATCATTTTGTTTTTATTTAGCTGTGTTTCTTGTTACTACCATAATCTACCACCAAAGAACAACCCAAAATAAATTTTCCAGCTCTTGACGATCGCAGCAATACCATATATCTGTATGTTATTTTTTTGTTTGTACCCGTAGTACAGCTCAGAAACAATAGTGCGCATTTTGTTTTACCTAAAACACACTGACACGAACTGACACTGATACCAATTTAAAATAAAATTCCTGACCTTTTGACTCTGACCTTGACCCAAACACTAGCCCTGGCAATGAACTAGATCAAACCTTGATCTAGATATTTTTTCTTTATTTTTTATATTTTTTTTAATAATATTTATTCATTTTGTTTTTTAGCAAACATTTTTTTTTTCATTTATGCAAGGGGTTAGAGAGATACAATGTATCTCTCTCCTCCATTCATAGAGAAAACAAAGGGAGGGGGCGGTCTATACAGTGACTGATTACTGTGATAGCCAATCAAAGGCTATCGCAGCGATCACGTGACCCGGAATTGGGAGTCCCAGGTCCCGATCATTAGAACGGGGCCCGGTGCTCTCAGTGACACCCTGGTCTTTGTGCTGGTCTTTGTGCACACTCTCAGCAGAAAGACAGGCACGCAAATACACGGAGCCCAGTTCTCTGAGGCAGCATATTTGTGTGACATCAGTGTGAAGGGTTTAAGGATCAGTCACCTAAAAATCATCACATAAGAGACTTTGTGTCCCCTATGTGATGGGAAAAAAAAAAGTTAAGCAAAAAAAAAAAAAAGTTTTCTTGCAAAAAAAAGTTACACCCAAGCACATAACCTCCCAAAAAAATAATTTTTAGGGCTCCCCACCCCCCACATGTACGCACATATGAACATAAGCGCACATGTTGGAGGCGCCCACACGTGAAAACGTCGATTGTAAAACGTTACATATCGCCGCACCTGCCAGAGTGAGAGCAATAATTCTAGCACAAGACCTCCTCCGTAACATTAAACTGATGACCTGTAGTGGGTTTTGAAGCATCACCTATAAAAAAAAAAAAAAAAAAAAAATATATGGGGTACTGAAGTCTGTCAAATTTAAGGTTTGACATGTTGGATATCTATCTACTCGGCACAACCTTGTCTTTTTTATTTTGCCAAAAATTTGGGTAATTTATTGCATTTATTTGCCCTAAAATTCACTGAAATTAAATTTTGCATTTTCTTAGACCTTGGCGCTAATATCGTGTGACATAAAAATTGGAACTTCCACTATTTTATTCTCTAGGGTGTCTGCTTTCAGAAGATATATTTGGAGGTTTTGTGCAGTCTTCAGGCCTAAAATGATTTAGGGATGTGAGCAAAAAATGCAGAACCGGCTCTGGCAGTGAAGGGGTTAAAGCAGGAAAGGTTACAGGTTGCACATGGCCTTTGAAATTACCTATGATAAGTGACTGCCTTTAAAGCTTACCAGTGAAAAATGTTAAACTGTTTATAGCCTAAAGCACAGTATGTTCACACTTTTGTCTTTTTGTGACACATGATTGCAGCCCAGAGCTCCTCCTGAAGTCTCCATTCCTGCATAGTAAAGGCTATGCATGCCCCTTTCACCTAGATCTTACAATGCAGCGCCTGGGCGCAGCATATCCTTCTACAGTCATGGACTTGGGGATAGTCAAGGTTTGTAGGCTTCTAGGGCCTTTAGAAGGAGTTGAATATCATACAAATAAAAACTTAAGCTGGTCTTAATAGTATCTGTTTTCCTGCAGGATGAAAATTAAACTTACGCTTTTTATAAAGTATAAGTTAACCAGCTTTTTCACAAGAGCTTAACCACCTCCCGTCCGGCTGTTGTATATAAACTGCCAGACGGTGGCAGTGCAGGGTCGGGTGGCCGTTTATAAACGGCCTCCCCGCACCCTGCTTGTGCACGCTTTACATAGCAAGCACCCCTGCTTGTGCACGCAAGCAAGCACACCCTGCTTGTGCATGCTTTACATAGCAAAAAAAAAAAAAAAAATCCCAGTGGTAAATAAATACCACCAAAATAATGATTTATCGGTCTCAAAAAAAAAAAATTCATCTGGGTACAGTGTTGCATGACTGCGCAATTGTCATTCAAAGTGTGATAGCGCTGAAAACTGAAAATTGGCCTGGACAGGAAGGGGGTAAAAGTGTCCGGACTGGAAGTGGTTAATTTCCCTCTGTTTTTTTGCAGCGTTTGGAGTTCTACTCTGGGAGATTGCCACCTATGGTATGTCTCCTTACCCTGGCATTGACCTGTCTCAGGTGTATGACTTGCTGGAGAAAGGTTACCGTATGGAGCAGCCAGAGGGTTGTCCTCCAAAGGTCTATGAGCTGATGAGAGCATGTGAGTAAATCCTTTGTACTGCTTTCCATAAATTTTGGTACATTTAAGCTGGCCATGGAATTTGTGTGGGGTTTTTTTTTTTTTTTTTCACCTGGAGGGCTGAACTGAAAAAAAAAAAAAGTACATATTCCTCCACCCGCACAAGTGAGGTGGATGGAGGAATGCCCCCTGCTGGGACATTGTATTCTGAATGCAGGACCCTACACTTTCAGAATACACAAATTAGTGGTTGAAGATGATTGGCTGTAGCTACTGATAGATCAACTTCTGCTGAATGGACAAGAAAATGTTTAACAATCAACTTCTGTCAATCAGGGACAGTCACACATGAATCAAAATCTGGCTGATCCCGCCAAATTTCAATCCATTTATGGCCAGCTTAAAGTAGTAGTAAACTGTCATTTAAAACGTGTATATACAGGTAAGTTTATGAAAGGTCTTACAGTGGTACATAAATATCCCGTTATATTGTGTGCTGTTTGGGAGATATTCACATCGGCTCCAGCTGATGATGTCACTACACATGCGCAGTTAACTCTGGATTCATGGCAAACTTGGTGTGTCATGAATGCAGAGAGCGCCATTCTGCAATCGTGACTCCTGTTCGCATGCGCGGGAACAACGTCATCACAGTCTAGCCATTCAAGTGGCCGGAGAGAGAGCAAATGCAAAAGAAAAGAGGATGAAAATGAAAGCAACAAATGGTGATCGCTCAACACTGGAGGGCTCAGTTTAAAGGCAAGTTTGTCATAATGTGCTGGTATGCAATGTATAGTAGCACATTATGGCATAAACCTGCAGGCATAAAAAAAAAACAGGAGTTTCTACTACTGCTTTAATTTAACAAAGTTGGTTAAATTGAATGAATGCAATTAAACGTTTACATCAAATTCAACTGTTTATAATTTAAAGTGTTACTAAACCCAGGACCCTGCATTCACTATATCTGGTCTCCCACAGTACACACAACATGGAAGTGCAATTATTTTAGTAAATATAAACTGCTAAATACCTTTTGTCATCAGCAGTTAGAACAGTCTTGTGACTTCGATCAGTGTCCAGCCGAGCACATGTTAAAGCTTGTAGGAGGAGTTTTCATTTTGCTCTGGGAGGATGCAGTTCCCCTTACCTCTGTCTGGACAGTGCTGATTGGCCCTGTGCTGATCACATGCACTCTCCCAAGAAAAAAAAAAACAAACCTCTCTAGCAATACACACCAAACTGAGCATGTTCAGAGTGACTCCACAGGATATGTCTTATCAGGAGATAAGAGGGGGACCCTGGAAGAAGGGGAGGATCAGAGAAGTCAGGATCAAACAGCCTTTTTACACAATGCAGAGGGTTAACCCCTTAGGTTCCACAGTGAGAATAACAAGCATGGTTTACTGCATATACAGACTGATTTTACTGTTGTGGGTTTAGTAACACTTTGATGCAGGTGTCCTTTCCATGCTTTCCTAAGTACACACTTAAAAGAAGTTTAAAAAAGAAAAGCAAAATTATTCTCTTAATCTAAATGAGTATTTGAAGTGAACAGTAGTCCTTTTGTAGAACACCTTTTATGTGTAAGCAAAGGAAAAGCAGCCCAGTAGATTACTTTTTGTACAGTTTTTTTTTTTTTTTCCTGCCCTTTTTAATACTTTTTTTTTTTTTCTCTTGTTTTGACTCCTTTAGGCTGGCAGTGGAATCCGGCAGATAGGCCCTCTTTTGCAGAGACACACCAGGCTTTTGAGACTATGTTTCATGATCCAATATCAATGAAGGTAAGTTACTAATATATGTTGTATCTTGTTCCTGTTGTACACTAATACCGTTTGAGTACATATTTTTAACCCTAAGGGTGGCTTCCTACTGATCTGCTGCACTTTGGCCACAGCACAGTGTATCCATGGTTTTTATGTAGGTTAGCTGCTCTTTCCATAAACTTCTACTATGTCCTGCAGTGTGGATACTTTTTCTGAAAACACTGAAACCACTGAGCATAGTAGAAGTCTATGGGAAAGCGCAAATAACCCACATGAAAACCACAGGTACACTGCTGTGGTCAAAGCACAGAGGGGGGCAGTGTGAAAGCGCCCTAAAGCATAGATGAGCCATTACATTTATGTAAGTGAATACATCCTATCTTAGTGTAAGCCTGGCAGCTCTGCATAGATCCTTGGTGCAAGCAGCAACTATGCTTTTTGTCAGGGTCCTTCTTGCATAAAACAACTAAATGCTTTGTTGATCATATTTCAGAGGTTGCTGAGGAACTGGGGCGCAATGCTGCTGCCTCCACATCCACGTCATGTCAAAGTCGCCTCCCTATGTTGCCCTCAAAATGTCGCACGTTGAAAAAGAAAGCAGAGAACAAAGAGAACATTGAAGGCACTGGGGATTCATCTGATAACTCCACCTCCAGCACTACACCAGGTAAATCAGGTGCTGATCATGAAGCACATCTTTTCTGTTTAGTAGAGAGTTTGCCTGTGTTGTAAAGTATTGGAGAGGGCAGGATAAACTTGGTGGATCAAATCAGTCAAAAGTAATCAGTTCCTCAAATGTGAATGGTTTTCTTTCTAGGAGTTCTTCGGGGATCTCCTGTAGCCACTGGCTCTCCTGCCCTTCCCCGCAAGCAGAGGGATAAATCTCCAAGCAGTCTTTTGGGTGATTCTAAAGAGACTACGTTTACACGTGATCGGAAGGGTGGATTCTTCAGTTCTTTCATGAAGAAGAAAAGTGCTCCACAGCCTCCAAAACGCAGCAGCTCTTTCCGTGAAATGGAGAACCAGCCTCATAAAAGGCCAGAGCTAACTGGTGAACTATCTGCTTTTCCACACCTTGATGGCATTGATACTCCTGCTTCTCCTGGCTCTCACAAAAGCTATGGAGGAGTATCCCAACGCAGTTTTGCAGAAGACGCAATAGCTGGAGTTGGTGGTGGATGGACTGGAATATCTGGGTTCTTTACCCCACGTCTCATCAAAAAGACATTTGGGTTGCGGACAGGAAAATCAGGGAGCAGTGAGGACCAGTCCAAACCTTTTCCGAGGTCCAATTCCACATCTTCGATGAGTCCCATTGTTCCCGAGCAGGACAGAATGGCCATGACCCTGCCCAGAAACTGCCATCGGACTAAGGTCCAGTTGGACCGAGCTGCTTCAGTATCTTCTCAACCAGATGAGAACCAACAGGAGCTTCCTAGAACTGCATTAGACATAGCACCCCCTCAGCCAAGCAGGGACAGAGTAAAATCTAAAATGCTTCCGCGGACTGGAGGCAGTGAACGAAATGGTGGTGTACGAACAGGTGCAGATGAGAGGTCATCACCCAGCAAACAGTCTGGTGCTGTTGCTTCCTCTTTCCCTGCAGCTGCCCACAACCACAAAGTGCCAGTTCTCATCTCTCCGTCCCCGAGGAATGCATCTACAGATAGCCAGCTGGTTGGAATGGATTCTTTAGGTCACACCTTTAAATTGCTTCAGGAGCATGTCACGCCAGCTGGCTGTGAGAAGGATCGTCCTTCTCATCGCCGACTAAAGCCAAAATGCGCACCCCCTCCTCCACCAAATCTGAGGTTCCTCCAGCAGCCGTCAGCTGACGACACAACCCCCTCTTCGTCTGCACAGCCAGTCCATGAAAGGGCATCCAAGCCAGCCCGACCTCTGCTGCCACCGCCACCTCCAGTCACACAAAGTGGAAAGCTCTCCAATGGAGCAGCTGGAAGTGGCAGGGGTGCCCTGCGGAAACCCAAACAACCTGCAGAGAAAGTACCTGCAGAAAAAATAAGCAAAGAGGCCCTTTTGCAGTGTGCTGGAATGCTGTCCACTGCTCTAACACAACCCCAACCCAACAGCCAGCTAGTGGACACAGGCCATCAGCTTCTGGACTACTGCACTGGATATGTGGACTCCATCCCCCAAACACGAAACAAATTTGCCTTCCGCGAGGCAGTTAGTCGCTTAGAGGTCAGCCTGCAGGAGCTGCAGGTGTCTTCTGCAGGGGCCGGGGCAGCAGCTGCTTCTCATGGTTCAAACCCTGTACTGAATAACTTACTGTCCTGTGTACAGGAGATCAGTGATGTAGTGCAGAGGTAGCTAATCATGGTTCTGCTGACATATTCAGGAGGCATTTCTTACTGATCACCCCAAACACCATCAAATAACCACCTCTGTTGGGATGCAGTGGCCAGTGTGTGACAGTCATACTTAGTGTTGGAGGAGCCAGTAAAGGGTTAGACTGCTTCTAAAGGAAAACAAATTGCAGGGAAATTTAACCAAACAGAATAGTCCAGTAGAACATTTTTTTTTTTTACACTAAAAGGCACCACATTAATTTTACTTGTGTTTTTTTTCTGCTTTTGCTTTTTGTTCTTTTACATCTCAGGTTTAAATGGTATTCTCATATGGAGATTCCTCCATCCTTACTGGGTCCAAATATAAAGTGAGCAAAGAGTGGCTTTTTTTCCCCATTATGTACCACAGTCTTGCTGCTGTTTAGGTTTGGTAGGAAAGATGGCAGTCTTTGAATGTTATGAAGGAGCCCTGTGCATGGTGAAAGCAGGATCTTCAAAATAGGTCAAGCCCAAATTAATTTTGTTACTTAAAGTGGCAGTAAACGCCTTGGGAAAATAAAATGCTGTGGCCCCCAGGTGGTTTAAACCATAATGTGCAAGTATGCGCCGCATGGCCATGCCACGATGACGTCGTTCCCGCAGATGCTCACAGGATACACAGCGCTCTGAATTGATGGCATACCTGGTGCGCTGTCAATTCAAAGCGCAGTGCGCATGCACAAGTGACGTCACTGGCTGCTTCCAGTTTGAATAACCCTTAACCAACGCAAGTTTAGAAGACATTCGGTATATCCTACAGGTGTGCCTTATAGGCTTACCAGTAGGTACACATATAAAAAGCGCCGTTTACGACCACTTTAAGTGTTTTTGTACCTTGTTTATCAGAATTGTAGTTAGCATTAGATTGTATTACATTTTTAGATGGTGATGTTGGCTTTTATAGTAGAAGTGGATCACTACAACAGCGCATCATGACTGTCCCTAAAATTGATAGCCCTCTACATACATCATAGAATAATCTGTAGCCCATGGAGAGTCTAGGGTGGCTGTCAGGCTTGCTAGAACTTCTTTTCGTATTGCTAGTAGGCTGCAGATTTCAAAGCCCATTGCCAAGAAACTAGGCACATTATTAGTCTAGACAGGGACAAGAATGCATTATGTGCAGCGGTTCTGTGTTTGCACCAAGCTCAAAGTACCATGTTCTGCCTGGCCACCCAGAAATCTTACAAAACCCAGTATTCCAGTGTAAGGTAGGTTTTTCATCTTTTACAGAAAGAAAGTTTGAGTTTACTCTGCATTCGTGAAATTCACCCACCTTTTCATCTGAAAAAAACAATACAAATTCTCTGCTGTATTTAATGCATGGCTTTGTGTTGTAATTTGTGCAGTCTAGGTAGATAGGAGAGAGAGAAGCGGCCTGTTCTTTGGCCACAGTGACCCCTTTATGCCCTACAGTGTATGCAGTTTTGCACAGTGTAGGTATGGGGGGATCTAGTGGGATGGCACAGCTAGGCTTCCCAGTGCATCACTTAGCTTGGTCTTCTCTAACTGTAGACTTTGCATAGTGAGGGAAACATACTGTAACTTTGCTGGCCCTGTAGCTTGTCTACACAGCAGGGCAGTCAACTAATATGAGGGACAGCAGCTGTAATTCAACATTTGCAACAAGGCCCTCACCTCTGTAGCTTTGACACTGAACAGTGTGCAGGTACACGATTACTGTCTACCAAATATTACAATTGAGAAACATCACAGGAATACACGACAGAGATGCCTCTATTATTAATTGTACAGATGTGTTGTCCATTAGTTCAGCCCAAGGATTAGCTTCACTAGAGATCACTTTATGTGGAATCAGACAAAGGTTTAAGGTAAAAAGAGCTCTTGCTCACTTGATGTTGAAATTCCATGTCACTGTCCCCACAAGCCATTGACATCCCAGCATGTGGCTGTGGTTAGGCTATGCATTCTCTGTCCCACAATGCAATGTGACTGCCATTCACCAACGTTATGCAGTACACACGTGAATTGGAACACTTGAACACATTCACAAGACACTGGCAAATGCCACTCAACTCAGCTGTTAGTGTTTTTTTTTGTTTTTTTTTCTCTCTTCAAGATTTTGTATAGAGAAGGATATATTTAATCTCACTTGGGACATGCTTTCTCTTTAAAGAATAATCTGCAGAATATGTATATGGACATATTGTGGTCACGGTTATAATGTCTATAAAGTACGGTTGATGAGTACAGTGGTCTGAAATGCAAATGCTCTGTCTGGGCAGTACTGGAATATGGACATAACTGGAGCCTTTGACTGAGAAATCATGTTTTAAGGAAACCTGTCAGAATAGCAGTTCCCTGTCACAGTGGAGGCTCTTCCTTCTCGTGCCGGTGTCTGCTGTTAGCTGGTTCCTGGAAACATAGCTTGTCCGGTGCAGAGCACATCTCTTCAGCATCATGCTCGGTGACAGGCAGGTGCATTTGGAGCGAACTCTTCGAAGAGTCAGATGGTGGTAGTATCAAGCACTGAATGGGAGCCTCGGCTGTGGCAGATTCCCACTGTCCTGACAGATTAGGCATGGATACGGGCGGAGTACGTCTCTGGCTGTCTGCACTCAAGTGCTGCTTGCAAAAATAATGGGTGCATTCATTCACTAACTTGTTAATTGCATGTATTACACTATTGTGATCACCTGCATTGGCTTTGAAATATGGGCCTAAGTTATCAAAATGTCTTGCATAAGAACCGTCTGTATCGCCACACAGTAAATCGTTATTCATTGGTAGGTGCTATTAAGTGCTTGTAAGCCTGTCATGATAGTAATACGAGGCTGCAATGGCTGGACCTCTTTCCTAAAATGCTCCTTGCCTGGCTTTGTGTTTCTTGTTTCAGGACTTTGAGTCACTGACTCCGAATTAGTATGCAGAGAAGGACTTTTCTTCTCAGTATCCATATCTGTAGATTGGGAAAGCTGTAATGTCCAAAGGTCAGAATAACAGCCAGACAATTAGCATTTCTAGAAGAAAGGTTTGGATGTGGCAGGTCTCTTATTTTTTCTATAAAAAGAAAAAGAAAAAAAAAGGTTTTATTGCAGGTTGGATTTTAAAGGGTCATTCCATCTAAAAATTACTAGCACATATCACACACTAGCTTCTTTTTTTTGCTCTCTCGTCTTCTCCCCCTTTTCTCCTCCTCTCTCTCTTCTCTCTCTCTCTCTCTCATCCTTCTCCTCTCCCTCTTTTTCTCTTTCTCTTGCTCCCCCCCCCCCCCCTCTCTCTCTCTCTCTCTCTCTCTCTCTCTCTCTCTCTCTCTCTCTCTCTCTCTCTCTCTCTCGGCCCCCCCCTCTCTCTCTCCCAACCCCCCCCCCCTTTCTCCCCCACCCCCTCTTTCTCGACTCCCCCCCCCTTTTTATCTCTCCCCACCCCCTCTCCCCCCCCCCCCCTCCGCTCTCTATCTCCCCCCCCCCCCTTCTCTCTATCTCTCTCTCCCCCTCCATTAGTGAGTTCTCATCACCACAGCTAATCCAAAGGAAGGGGTCTCTTGCTGCATTTTTAGTTGGCTCATGGGGTCCAAGACTGTATTTTATTGATTGCAGCTGCCGGGTGGACCTAGAACTTAGAATCAGGGATATTAAAGCCTGAATTCCAAGAAGACTTAGGATGCTGGTGGCTTATTCTATCTGATAGTTTATGCCAAACATTGACATCAATCTTGGCCCTTTATATCTTGCCAAATGCCTGATTTTATCTTCTAACAGAGTTGGTAGTGTATGTGCCAAGATAGGACTTGGTAAATGCATCTTTTTAGGACACTTTATCTTTAACCTAGACAGTACCAGAGACCCAGTTCTCCTTGTCACACTACACAAATGGCACCTAATATTTAGGGGACCTGAATGTAATACTTTAGGCTGTTGAAAATAAAGGCATTGCATTTTGTAATGCACATGTTTCATATCTGTGTGCTGTACATGCTGTATCCACAATCCTTTCTGAATGAGCAGTTTGGAATTCTTTCCATTCCCATCCTGAAGATGTGATCATCACATCCACCTGAATTTAAAAATTAGGGATGAGAAAGTCTCTGTTCTGGCCACAGCAACCAATTCAATGTTTCATTGTCTTTCTTGCACTGGAAAAGTGGCGAAAGATCAAAACCTGTTAGAAACATCAGACCCCTTTTTATCCCAGTTGCTCATTACTTGGCAATATAGCCAAGAATTTATGAAAATTTGCCCATCAGAAGAGTTGGGTAATCATGGAGATACGCATAGTATCCAGCCATTTTTTTTTATCTTTTAACTAGCGAATATAGTTGCTTTGAGCAACAACTCCAGTTTGGCCTCTATTTTCTTAAGTTCAGTATATTTTCTCTCCAGATCATGAATGTCTTCTCTGCTGACTTTTTGTACATACAGTTCTCTGATTAGGGCCCAAAACCCTCATCTACAAAGTTACAGCATTCAGTATTCTTTTGCTCTGTCTGTTTTTGCTGTACGAGGCTGCTACAAGAAATTTTGGAGGTGTCCATAGCACTAAGCTCTTGCCCATTGAACACTAAAAATTCTATTTTACAGCCGTGTTGCAAGAAAGCTCTGTAAACCATAGTGACTTGTTTGGCATCAGTTTTTTAGAATGTAAACTCTAAGCTGCTAAAGTTGGTTGCTGTGAGTTACCACTCATTGCTTTTGGCCCTGTGTTAAGATTAGGCCAAAAATTTAGAGGACCTTGCATCCGATCAATTAAAAAACAGAATTGTTTAACGTCTCTTCCTATTATAATATGCCTACATATCAGAGTTGCTATTGCCACCATGTGCTTCTGCGCATGCCTTGCTTTCCAAGGGAAAATTGTATTAAGGAGGTACCATACTTGAATGTCCAGAAAGCTAGGGGAGAATTTCTCCTCTTTGTTCCCTTCCTTACTCTGAAGATTTGCAAAAACTGTGGACACATCTACTGTTTTGCTGCTGATCCTATGAAAAGCTCTCCTTCAAAGAGGTTCCTGGTAGAAGTTAGC